TGGCAGTCTCGGTTGCCCCTGGGAAGAGGGGTGGGAATAACTTCACTGTATAACTTTTGTACCTTTTGAATTTTGTACCATGTACATGTATTATCTTTTCAAAAATAAATAGTTTTTAAATTTTAATTTGGTTTAGTTTTCAAAAAAAATAAAGGATTCTAGTTCCATAAATGTACTTTCTTAAGCAAAATAAAGCCCATGAGTCAGAAGCAGTAAAACTGTCTCTTGCTTGGGTCTTGGTGGTAATAGGCCGGTGTGGAAGGGACTGTCCTCTGATGTAATAGCTTTGAGGAGCTGAGACACTGAGGCAGGTTCGGCACTATTATGGTTTGATATGAAGAGTCCCCCCAAGACTCATGTGTTGAAGGCTTGGTTCTCAGTGCAACAATGTTCAGAGGTGGGGCTTTGGGGAAGTGGTTGGGTCCTGAGGGCACTCATTCATCAAAGTGTTAAGCCATTGATGAGTCTGTAACTGAATGGACCACTAGGAGGTGGAGCCCCCCTGGAGGAAGTAGGTTACTGGGGATTTGCCTTTGAAGGTTATATCTTGTCTCTGACCCCTTCCTCCCAACCCCAGTTCCTGGCCACCATGAGATGAGTAGCTGTGCTCTGCCACACCCTTCTGCCATGATGCTCTTCTACCTTACCACAAGCCTGGAAACAAAGGAGCCCATTATGGGCTGAAACCTATGAAACTCTGAGCCAAATTAAGTCTTTTCTCCTTTAAGTTGATTTTCACAGGTATTTTGTCACAGCAACAGAAAATTGACTAACATTCCTATCCACTGTGTGAGTGTGTTGGCCTGGCAGGGATAGAAAATGGACTGTGAAGATGATGGAACCCTAAACCCCGTTGTAGGGTTGCCTGCATGTCATGAGAATCACTGTGCAATTGTGCTTCCTGACTTTTGGGGTACAAAACATGGGGATGGTACCTCTGAGCCATGGCCTAATGGGAACGATTAACATTTTCCAGAAGCCACTCCAATCTTGAATGGAAATCTACTGTGAGTGATCCTTCCCACCCTTGTTTATTTTTTGGTGTGGGAGGGCACTGGATATTGAACCCATGAGTACTTTATCACTGACCTAAATCCCCAGCTCTTTTTGTATTTTACTTTGAAACAGCATCACCAAGTTGCTAAGGGTGGCCTTGAACTTGTGGTCCTTCTGCTTCAGCCTCCCAATTCATTGGAATTCAAGTGTGCGCCACCCCTCTTTCTTTACCAACAGAACTCTGGTTTCGTTCAGCTCCAGGAGAACGTCATAACAGCTGTTCTAAAAGGCATGAGAATCCCGTTTCTACTTTCCAAGGTTGATTTATAAATAGATGTCTAACCCAGTCATGACCAACAACGAGAAGACTGCTGAGGAGTCCCAGAAAAACTTTCCTGCTAATAACCAGCCAGAATTGTATCAGGAGAGCTTCTGCTTGCCCTTTCTGTTTATTTGTCAAGGAAATGACAAGATTTGAGCAACTTCACCATCTAGACACTGAGCTTGACCAACTGAAAAGATGGAAAGAATCAGGCTCCCTGAAGGCATGATGAGCTTCTGAGCCAACCTGGGTCCCACTTGCTTCCATGTTCTTGTTCAATGAGAAAAATCCCTGTTAACTGGTGCATTCAACCAACAAATATTTGAGTTTCTACTCTGTCAAACACGAAATACAGAAATGAAAAACACAGGAAAGAGAATCTGCCTTCCTAGAAGCTTCGTCCAATGGGGAAGACACAAAAGAAAGAAATATGTAAGTCATGTTTCTTCAACATACTGATTAAATCAGTGAAGGAGGGTCAGGAATGTCTGTTTTGGTGGTGGTGGCAATTTTATATTGAGAAGCTAGGGAGGACCTCAGTCACTGACTAGTGAAGGAGTAAGTCATAGAGACCTGGGTGAGGAAATTCCAAGTATAGGGAATAGCAAGTGTAAAAGCCCTGGGTAGAAGCATACCCAGATGAGTTTGGTGACTATCTGTGAATCTGTGTGGGAAGCTACAAGAGGATTTTGAGTAGAAAAGTGATATGTTCTGGCCTCATTTTAATAGGGATCCCTCTGGGGCTGTGTTGCCTACAGGCTACAGGGAACCCAGTTAGAGATCACTCGTAATCCAGATGAGCTAGGCATGGTGGCAGATACCTATAATCTCAGTGGCTGGGGAGGCTGAGGCAGGAGGATTAGAAGCTCAAAGCTAGCCTCAACAACTTAGCAAGGCTCCAAGCAAATCTAAGTGAGATTCTGTCTCAAAATAAAAAGGGTTGGGATATGACTCAGTGGTTAAGCACTCCTGGGTTTAATCTCCTGGTACCAAAAAAAAAAAAAAAAAAAAATCCAGATGAAAATACAACTGAAACAAATGTCTCACAGGAGTTATGCTTTCTATATTACATTTTTTTTTTCTGGTGCTGGGAATTGAACCCAGGGATGCTTTACCACCAAGCAATAGTCCCCAGCTTTTTTTTGAGACAGGGTCTCACTTGCCTAGGATGTCCTTGATTTGCAATCCTCCTGCCTCAGCCTTCTGAGTTACTGGTATTGCAGGTTTGTGCTATCACATAAGGCTGATTTTTTTTCTGTTTTGCTTTTTTTTTTTTTAAGTACTGAGCATTGAATTATGGGTTGATATTCATCAGTTCCCTCATAGTAGATTCCTTTGTTATGGCACTGAAATATACTTCCCCATCCCTTCACTTTAGGATTGTAGTTTATTTATGAGGTGTCCTCCAAAAGCTCATGTGTGAGTCAAAGCAAGAATATTCAGAAGTGAGATGATTGGTTTATGAGAGCCTTAACCTAATCCGTAGGTTAATCCACTGAGATATTAACTGGGTGGTAAACTGTAGGCAAGTGGGGTGGGGGCTGGAGGCAGTAGGTCACTGGGGGCATGACTTTGGGGCTTATATTTTGTCCTTAGTGAGCAGAACTTGCTCTTTGCTTCCTAGTTGTCTTGTCCTGAGCTGCCTTTCTCCACCATGCTCTTCTGCCATGATGTTCTGCCCCACCTCAGGCCCAGAGCTATGGAGTTAGCCAACGATGGACAGAACCTCTGAAATCATGAGCGAAAATAAAATAACCTTTTCTTCCTCTAAGTTATTTTTGTTGGGTCTTTTGGTCACAGTGACCAAAAAGCTGACTAAAACCATTGATAGAGTTTTGAAAAGGTGTTTGTGTGGCCTATCATCTTGCCCTTCTCTCTTGAGAAGATTTTTGTTGTTGCAAAAAGTATGAGGGACACATGGTGCAGACCTAAACCTGATCTGCAGCTTTCAAGACCAGAAGAGTCCAGCTGAGATGACTGCAGACCAGCCATAGACAAATGAAGGAGCAAGAAATAAAGGCTTGTTGCTATGTCCCACTGGGATTTTATAGTTGCTACAGTTGCTATGTCCCACTGAGATTTTATAGTTGCTACAGTTACTAAGAACATGGTTGAAGGTTACTCTTGGTGTCTTTCAGTCAAGTTAATTAACTCAGCCTACAGGTTTTATTGGTATTGTTTGGTTTCTTTCTTTTTTTTTTCTTGGGGGGTGGGTACTAGGGATTTAACTGAAGGGTACTCGACCATTGAGCCACATCCCCAGCCCAATTTTTTATTTTATTTACAGATAAAGTCTCACTGAGTTGCTTAGCGCCTCGCTTTTGCTGAGGTTGGCTTTGAACTTGCAATCCTTCAGTCTCAGTCTCCCAAACTGCTGGGCTTATAAGCATGCGCCACCACGCCTGGCTTTTGTTGGTGTTTGGTAGTACTATAACAGGTATTATTTTCCCTCTGTGTGCATCACAGAAATGATCCAGAGCCTAGACAGGAATGCCCTCTAAGGTCTTTTTATTACACATACAAGTCAGTATGGTTAAGTAATATGGAAACATTTCTCGAAACTTTCGTCCCTTGTGGTAAAGCAGCAGAGAAAAGACCTCAACAGGGTTTCACACACAGGAATCATGTGGCAAGTTTTAAGAATTGCTGCTGCGTTGGGTCATCCCCCAGAAATTTTAGTTTAAAATCAGTCTAAGAGCAAACTAAAAATCCAGCAGCATCTGTTGTAGTTTATATGTGATATGTCCCCCAAAAGCTCCTGTGTGAGACAAAGCGAGAAGGCTTAGAGGTAAAATGATTGGATTAGGAGAGTCTTGATTTAATCAATGCATTAATCCCCCATAGGGATTAACAGTGGTAACTACAGGCAGGTATATATTTTTCCCTCCTTGAGGGAGCTTGCTCTCTGCTTCCTGGAGCTGTGTCCCCAGCTACTTTCCTGCACCAAGCTCTTCTGCCACAGTGTTTTGCCTTGCCTCAAGGAACAGAGCTGGCTGGCTATGAACTGAGACCTCTGAAACCTTGAGCCCCAAAATGAACTTTTGGGTCAGAGTATCAAAAAAGGTGATGAAAACAATCTCACTGATTTAAAAAAAAAAAAAAAAAGAAAACAGAGAGAATGTAATACATATATCACCAGTCTACACTTTGAGAGTCTGATTCAGTAGGTAGGTGATCCTCATTTTCTTGCAAATTGGAATACACGGCCATTGGGGGATGTGTGAGAGTCTTGAGAAAGGTAAGCTGAGTTCAAAGGGTGGGGGAAGCACTCTTTCACAAGGGAGAGTCTTCCAAGAGGCTTGAGATGCTCACTGAGGAACAGAGTATTGAACAAAGGAAAGTCAAATCGTCTTTGACTTGTGTGTCAGTTGTAACCAATTAGCAATAACTAAAGTGCTGTCCTGAAGGATTCTGAGTGAAATTCCTGCTCAGTGGGGAAAGGTACATGATCTATTAGCAATGTCTATATGGGAAGAAAGCATACTTTTATGCTTACTGTATATTTTTTGCTTTCCTTTGTGAGACGAGCCTTTGGCACTGCTACTTCTATAGTCCCAGCCCAATGATATGACTCTCAAAATGTAATTAGTATTCAGCTAGGGAGAGACAGCTCCCAGATCACTGGTGAAAAGGAGAGTTATGAGTTCCTTTCCCCTGTCTCCCCATTTCTCTCCAACCCCTTTTATCTCTGCTTGGTAAAGAGGCTCTTAAAAGCATTGTTGTAGTTCTTGTTAAAAGCTGTGTAAATCAAGGGGTTGAAAAAAGAATTGGAGTAGCCAAGCCACAGGAAAATGCTCTTCCAGATGGGGGGTAAGCTGCAGGCACAAAGGGGGCTGATGAGCTCCGCCAGGAAGAAGGGGATCCAGCACAGGACGAACACACCAATCAAGATGCCCACCATCAGGGCTGCTCGCTTCTCCTTCTGCTCCCGCCAGGAGTCTCCACTGGTCTGGAAGGTCACAGTGGCTCTGCAACGGGCTGTGAACACCATCTCAGCCTCAGGAGGTGCCTCCTTCACCTTAAAAGAAAGTAAGTGTGGAATTAAAAAAAAAAAATAGAACACGGAAAAATGATGAACAAACTGAAAAAATTCTTAGATTTTTCAGAGAAGTAGGTTCACAGGACTATATACTGCTCCAAAAGTGGGAAAGAGAAGTGAAAACAAAATCACAGCTTACTCGAGCAGAAATCAACGAGCAGAAGCTACTGCAGGGACCAGTGCAGAGTAATAAAACAAACTCTAATTGACCAATTGCTAGAGGCTCAGTGTGGACAATCCTAGGAGTTAGACTCCTTGAGTGGCTAGCAGGAGTGCAGGGAGAGTGCTTTTGTAAGTTGTATTACTACACAAGGTCCTCTCAGTGAGTACTGGAGAAAAATCAACTCTTGCTTCCCGCAAATGGAGGGAAGTGGAAGTGGATCCATTTCGAAATACATTGGCTCATTCCCTTAACAAACCCTGCCCTCATGAGAAGCTTGTTTATAAGAACCTAACCTGTTGGGGTTTATCAGAGCTAATCTACCTATAGAAGGGAAATATCCAACTCCAGCACCCTCTAACCTTCCAGCCCCAACTGAGGGGAAGGTGGGACTGGAAAGCCCTGTGAAGTTCACAGTCCAAGGGCACAGCCTCCCCGCCAAAAAAGACTATAATACCTAATCACAGGTTTAAAATTCTCCCTGTCCCCCCAAACCTTACTGTTTTTCCTTACCCAATATATTGTGCTCATCTTTCCACAAGCAATTACAAAACTACAAGGCAAAAAGAAGTTTGATGAGACTTGGCAAGATCAGAACCAGAATCATATGTGGCCATATTGTTGGAATTATCAGACTAGAACTTTTTAAAATATAATATACTAAGGACTTTAATAGAAAAATAAACAACATGTAAGAACTTTTGGATAATCTAGGCAAAGAGAAATTGTAAGAAATAATTTTAAAAAAGCTAGAACTCATAGAAGAAAACATAGGGGAATACTCTAGCATATAGGCACAGACAACAACTTTCTCAATAGGACCCCAGAAGCTCAGGAAATAATATCAAGAATTAATAAACGGATGGCATTAAATTAAAAAGCTTCTGCACAATGAAGAAACAAGAATGTAAAAACAAAACCTACTGAATGCAAGAAAAGTCTTTGCTAGTTACCCTCTAACAGAGGATTATTGTATAGAATATATAAAGAACTCAAAACACCCAAATTAATAAATGGAAAAATGAACTAAACAGACACTTCTCAGAGGAAATATAATGGCCAACAAATATATAAAAAAATGTCATCATTAGCAATTACGGAAATACAAATCAAATTACACTGAGATTTACTTTCTCTTCAGTCAGAATGGTAGCCATCAAGAATATAAATAATAACTGGGCACTGTGGGGCGTGCCTATAATCCCAGCAACTTGGGAGGTTGAGACAGGAGGATTCCCAAGTTCAAATCCAGCCTCAGCAAAAGTGATGTGCTAAGCAACTCAGACCCTGTTTCTAAATTAAATACAAAATAGGGCTGGGGACGTGACTCGGTGGTCGAGTGCCCCCGAGTTCAATCCATGGTACAACCCCTGCCCCCCCCCAAAAAAAAAAAAGAATACAAACAATAATAAATGTTGGAGAGGACGTGGAAAAAAGGAACACTTTAACACTATTAGTGGGATTGTAAATCAGTACAACCACTATAGAATGGAACCATCATATGGCCCAGCTATCCTACTCCTTGGTATTTATCCTAAAGAATTAAAGTCCACATACTATAATGACACATGCATACCCATGTTTATAGCAACACCATTCAAAATCACCAAACTATGAAACCAGCCTAGGTGTCCATCAATGAATGGATAAAATAAAATGTGTTATGTATATACAATGGAGTTTTACTCATCCATAAAAAATGAAATTATGTCATTTGCAGGAAAATGGATGGAACTTGAGACCGTTGTGTTAAGTCAAATAAGCCAAATTCAGAATGTCAAGGGTCATATATTTTCTCTCATGTGCAAGCTAAAGAGGAAAAAGAAAGAGGGCCAGGGTAGGGAATCTTATGAAAATTGAAAAGAGATCAGGAAAGGAAAGGACCCAGGAAGAAGAAGAAAGGGGGAATTAATGAGGAATGATACTGGCCAAATTATATTGTTAAATTTTGTGCATGTACAACTATGTAACAACAAATCCTACTACTATGTACAACTATGGTGCACCAATACAAAACATGAAAAAAAAACTATATCAGAAATGAAGAAAGAATGGCTTTGTTGGGCTCATTAGTAGACTAGACATAGCCAAGGAAAGGATCTGTAAACTTGAGCCAGGACAATTGCAGCTTCAAGGAAGGAAGGAAGGGAGGGAGGGAGGGAGGAGAAAAAAGACTGGAAGAGAGAAAAAAATAACAGACTATCAAAAAACTGGAACAACTACAAAAGGTATAATATATTTGTAATGAGATACCAGAAAGAGGAACAGAAGAAATATTTGAAGCAATAATTGCTGAGAATTTCCCTTAATTAATGTCAGAAAACCACCAGGAAGGTCAAAGAGCATCAAACAAGAAAAATGCCAGGTACATACATACATGAGGCTGTCATTTTAACCTGCAGATAAACAAAGATAAAATCTTTAAAGAAGCCCAAGGAAACAAAATACCTTACCTACAGAGGAGCAAAGATAGAAAGTACATCTGACCTCTCAGAAACCATACAAGCAAAAAGAGTGAATGAAATATTTAAATGTGTTAAAAGAAGAAAGGGAAAGAAAAATCTAGAACTTAAAAAATTACCCATTAAAAGTGAAAAAGACTGAAGAGTTTTAGTTCCAATACAAATGCCTTACAAGAAGTGTTTTTAAAAGTTCTTAGAAAGGAAATCATATAGGATTTACATAAAGAGCATCAGAGAATGAATACATGAAGGCAAAATAAAACTTATTTTTCTTATTTGAGCTAACAGGTAAGTTTGTTCACAATAAAAACAGCAATAATGTTTTCAATAACTCTTGCTATTTGTGCTTATGTATAAGTCAAATGAATGACAATATGATAAAAGAGAGGAGAAAGAGGAATTAGAATTATTTTGTTATTATAAAGTATTATATACCATGAAATGGTATAAGTTATTTGACATTGGACTAGGTTTGGATGTAACTGTACACTGCAAACTAAAGAGCAATCACTAAAAAATAAATAAAATATACCTGGTGTGCTAAGAGAGCGGAAATAATGTCACAAAAATTTCATTTAAACTGCAAAAGACAGAAAAAGCACAAGTCAAAAAGGAACAAAGAACAAGAGTAACAAATAGAAAGCCATAGCAAATCTAGATACTAATCCCACTACATCAGTGATCACTAAGTATTAGTATTCTGAATACATCAATTAAAAGAGCTCGTTGGGCTGCGGCTATAGCTCAGTTAGTAAAGTGCTTACCTCACATGCACAAGGCCCTAGGTTCAATCCCCAGCACCACCAAAAAAAATAAATAAATAAATTGTTGAGTAGACAAAAAAATAAGACCAAACTATAAATTGTCTAGAAAAAAAGAACTTTAACACATATATAGATTTAAAGAGATGGAGACAGATATACCATACTACCAATAACCAAAAGAAAGTAGGAGGAGTACAAGTTTGAGGCCAGCCTCAGCAACTTTGTCTCAAAATAAAAAATATAAAGGGCTGGGGATGTTACTTTGCAGTAAAGCACCCCTAGGTTCATTTTCCAATACACCCAGAAATATAGTAGGAGTAGGTATATTTCAGACAGAACATACTTTAAAACAAAATTATGAGTGAGATGAACACTGCATAATAACAGGATCTATACTCCAAGAATTTATTATAACCCTTAATGTGTATGTGCTTAACAATGGAACATCAAAATACGTAAGGCAAAAACTGATATAATTGTGATATAGTTCATCCATTTCTCTTTTCAATTCTATTTGGAGGACTTCAAAACCTCTATCAGAAATGGACAGATCCAACAGGGAGAAAAATCAGTCAGGATAGTTGGATTCAACTGTACCAATCAGTGGGTATAATTAACATCTATAGACTCTTTCAACAACAGCACATTACACATTCCCCCTCCAGCTTACATGGAATATTCAAGGTAGACCACAGAGGCCTTAAAACACCTTAAAAATTCAAGAGTAAAAACTGTACAATGTCTGGTCTCAGACCACAAATGAATTAAATTAGAATCAATACAAAGATAGGCAAATCCTCAAATACATGAAAAAGCACACAACATACAAATCAAAGAGATCTTAAAAAATATTTTAAGCCAAATGAAAACAAAATTTATCAAAATTCATGTGATGCAGTAAAAGTGATGCTTAGAGGGAAATTTAGAGCATCGAATGCATACATTTAGAAAGAAAAAATATCCAAAATTATTCATCTAAATTTCTTAGGAAACTAGATGGAAAGAGAGAACATTGAATCCAAAGTAAGAAGAAATAAAAATTAGAGGCGAAACCAATGATTGGAGATAGGATATCAATGGAGACAAATCAATGAAGCCAAACTCTGGTTCTTTGAAAAGATAACATCAATTTGCTTCTAGACGAGAAAAAAGGAGGACACACATTACTTATATCAGAAATGAAAGCAGGGATATCACTACAGTCCCCATGTGCATTAAAGGGACAATAAGAGAATACTGTGAACAACTCCATGCCCACAAACTTGATAACCTGGATGAAATATACCAATCCCTTAAAAGCCATGAGCTACCAAAAGTCAACCAATAAGAAATAGACAGTCTGGGGGGGAGGGAACCAAGATGGCTGGATAGATGGCGAGATACCATTGGTGCAACTCTGCCTCAGAGAAAAGTCAGGGTGGTAAAATATTTTGAGAATGAGAGGGAGAATTCTGGAAATTAGCATAGAAGTGATAGAAACCCTAAAACATTGCAGAGAGTCAGAAAACAGCCTAGAGAAAAGAACAAAGCAGTTTGCAACCTCAGCTGGAGCTTCTCAGCATGGGGTAGGGTTCCAACACTGCTGGCAAAAGG